GCGCGACCAGTATTCGTTGTCGGCGTAGTGGGTGAGGCAGAGTTGAACGGAGTGACAGCGGCTGGTGTAGTCCGGGTGCTGCAGTTGGTACAAAGATGTCCTACAAGGCCGATTGGTCCCCGGAACGTCTGCTGGTAGAGTAGGCATGTCGGGGGCGGTTGAGCGTTGGCGTTGCAGGGTGGGCGCAGTTGAGATTTGCGAGCCTCGCATTTGGCTTTGGCTGCAGTTATGCGGTTGGTTGTGTAGATTGCTGCGCCTGTCTTCACTGTCCTCCTACAGGTCAGTCGGTCTTGGTCGAGGTCTTCCCAGTTGACAGTTGCAGACGCTTGAAGCAAGTCTTCAGGGACCGGTGGCGATATCTCCAAAGAATAGCCGTCTTGGTAGCCGCCCGTCGTCTATCCACACGTGGTGGCCGCTCCAGCGTAGTCGCAGCTGTCTCAGTATGGCGTAGATGCTGGGGATTTCCGTCCGCTCCACCACGTCCATGTCCGGGATCTGGTCCTGCCACCTCAAGAGGACAACTGAGGTGAAAGTGAGTGAGTCTTCGCGCCTGCTTCTTGTACACCGTCCAGGTCTTAGCTCCATACAGCAGTGTCGGCAGGATGACCGCCTTGCGCATCTTCAGTTAAGTGTTGAAATGTTGACCATGGCAAGCACAGACTGTGTTTTGCGGACGGCCGAAGGCTTGGCTGGCTTAGGAAAGCCGGAGGGTCACTCGATCGTCAATCTTTCACCGGTACCCACAATACCCATGATGCGCCCAACATCCCAAAATGCAATGCACGTAATTGGCACCTCTCGTGCAAGTGGGGAGTTTTTTTCCTCGACCCCTTTTCCAAGTGGCACCTCTGCTGCATGTGTGATCCGAACCTGAAACTATCGCGATTCACTTACCGTCGTAGTTTGCAAGGTTTCCAACTGACGATGGAACTCAGACCTCGCGGTCAGCCCAGTGCGTTTGCGTGGGTTGCCCAGTTGGTGGACAGAAAGTCAAGCTTCAATGGCTCCATTTTAACGTTGCCTCTGGCACTCTCACACATGTGAGATGCCTGCCGCCCACTGCCTTTTTGCGTGAAATGCTGTGCTGGGGCCAAGTCATGTAAATGGTACGATCAGACGAGCTATCTCAGCCACTGCACCCATTCCCCCCACCAGACACCCGACCGGCTCAGACAGTGACGGGGATCTGAGAATGGGAACAGAGGACGAGGTGCACTATCCTCACTATAAACAATCTGACGCGCTTGAATCTATCACGGTGCGCTAAAAGTCGTGGCTTAGAAGATTGGTCCTCGCAGTCAGCTCAGAATGCGTCTCTGTCAAGTGGCCGGCCGGGAAAGTGAGAATCAGGCTGGGATGAAACTCCCACTGAATAGAGTCCGAGTCGTCTCTCGCCTTTTGTCGTTGTATAAAGTCCTGGTCAGTGTGCCTTGTAGACCAGGGAGGTATGGTGGTACGCTCAGGTGGGGGTTGACGCCGTGACAACCACCTGTGTTCTCTCCCGCCTCCGTTCTTCTTGACTCTGCCTTGACATCGAGTCCAAGTGGGGGTGAGGAGGGAGTGCAGTAGATGCAGTGCAAGTCTACTATCATTTCGAGCTAATTCACGCGCAAGTCACCATCCCTGTTCTCATCCTACTGTGGAGCACACGGTGGACACTGTTGGAAACAACGACCAAACTGTCTCTCCCCAGGCACAAGCCGGCTTATTTCGCGGCTGGCCCTCACCGTGATTCGATCCAATATTTGGCATTCCTGGACGCGTCGGGTGACCGGCAATTAGGTCACCAGATGCACCCCCTCTTTTCAGAGTCCATAGGCGGCTGCTGAATAGCTGCAGGCAATCGGGATTCAAGTTCTGAATCGGTATGATACGGTCTCCTACGAAGACTAGGATAAAATAGATTTGACCTTACTCTGTCATGCAATGACCATTCCAGTGTCTCTAGTATCTGTCAGTAACACCTCACCAGCAAATGCTTCAATTCTTAAGTAGGTGGGTTTTAAATATCCCTTACGAAGCGTAGTAAGGGAGGCACTGTCTCCGCTGAAAAATGTACTATCGACTTAGTTTGCACTGAGTAGTGCTAGCATCACAGACTACGGGGCATTAGGGTTTTGGATCAGTGTTAACGGCTCCCTATTTTTCCTATGGTGTAGAACACGGGATCTGTCATCTTGTATGCCAATGAGGCCCTGTTAAAAAAACGAATCTCTTACAGGCTCCCACAAACCATACGCGTTATTGACATCGTAATGAGTTTTCAGAAAATGTTTTACTAATATAGTCTTTCATTTGCTATGCTCAGTAGGTTTTCGTACGTAAAACCCCCATTAGGCCACTAGTCGCAACGAAACAATCCAATGTTGCGTATGCACACTGCACAATGTTTAAGTGCACTGCCGCTTATTCTTGGGGAATCTCGATTCAATTTCCCCGATTGGATGACGGAAACTTCCAGTTCACAAGAGATTTCATAGAAGACGACTTCTGTACTCGTTGGTGTCTGGTACCGATGAATGATGAGTAATTATGATTTTTTCATGGCTGTTAGATATTCAGTCAGATTTTATTCGTCAAGATTTTGCAGCCCTCATTTTATCGTTTATTGGTATCCAAACCGTCTAAACACCTGGGTCGCGCGTCAGATTTTTTGTGCCCGTTGGTAAGCCCAGTACTTCAATCGTTGACCTTGGAAGACTTTCGCGGAAGGAAATTATAATGTGAGGATCGACCACTAGGGTTAGCCTTCTGTCGTGAACGTCCGGATTGAATGCGCGGAATGTCCAAGGAGTTTGCCGCCATTTGACGAGAATGGGTTTCAACGCCGAAACCGAAACCTCCCACGGGACGTGCACATGAGGTGGAAGAGGGGGGAGGAGGGGAAAAGAGGAGGAAGAAGAAGAAGAAGAAGAAGAAGAAGAAGAAGAAGAAGAAGAAAAGGATGACGACGACGACGATATTTGGTCGTTGTAGCCAAGAATCTATTTCACATGAAATCTTTATTCACTGTGGCAACGACGAATGAAGGTGGTGGACGCACAGGCGATGAGGTATGTTAGGCGAGCAGTCGGGGCCCCACGCATGCATACTAAGATAAATAGTTCCCCTAATCACAAAACGCATTCATGCATCTTACGATGTTGGCTCGGTCGCCCATGTCTGACTTGTTAATCATAGGGGTTGGGAATCGGTAGGGCTGCTACGTGACAATTCGGTTCGTTGATACTTTTATTGGAAGCAGTGTGCACCTTTTTTTCTCCCGCATGAATAATTACTTTGTGCATTCAACGTCTGGGCGCTGCATTAAAGAGGAAAAACCCACTGCCTTTGCAGACGGACTGCCAGTTAAAACAATGGTCCTAGCAGCTCGCGATCCCCATAGCCATCTTCGCCTGCAAGTCAAACTTGAAGGAGTGACCAGGCAGAGCAAGTAGAGTGAACTCCAGCCAATCGGACACATCGGGCCATAAAAACGCACAATTGCGTGCGCGTAGAGTTATGAGCTGTTTGAATTTGTTAACCACCGCACCTACGGCCACCTAATTTACTTTATCTTACTACGAGAACAGTGTTCCTGTGGGCGGTACAGTAAGTGGGCTAACTCATGAAATGTCAACTGAAATTTCGAAATACATTTTCGGTTCGAGAGGATTAATTAAGTTGGGTTGTAAAACTAATCATCCTACAGCATAACCTTACAATAATTTAGTTACCTCAGGATGCCGACTTTCGAAGGAACTTCTTTCCGGCTGCATTTAAAAACCACACTCTGTAAAAAATTGCTACTTAATTAGCATGCATTTTTCTCGCTGATTTTCGATGCTTATAAAATTTCGATTGAATTTTATGGAAACCATGCATAGAAATACTCATTTGTCTGTTCATTCGGTAGAAAATTACGCCTTCCTCTAATTTTATACTCGAAGGAATGGTATAATTCGGCTTTTAAAAAGTTTCTTACTATGAGATTTTTTAATACCGTGAAATGGCAGCTCATAAAACGTGATGTCTCTGCATTTACCAGTGTTGCTCGTAAAGTTAACAACATGGTTCACATCCATTGCTAAATTTTATGAACCCCCTACGGCCTCCTCTTAATGCCGTAGAGAAATGTATGGTTTCCGTACGTGAAAAGTATACGGCTTGTAGTTTGGAAACACTGAATGCAAGTGTAACGACAGGTCGGGGTTCAAAATTATTCGGGAATTGGAAAAGTTTTTGAAAAATAAATCATACCCTTCCTTTGAGTATAAAATTCGAAGAAGACGTAATTTCCTACCGAATGAGCAAAAGAATGAATATTTTTATGCATGTTTTCCATGAAATATAATTGAATTCTTAAGAGGATTGAAAATCAATGAGAAAAATTCATGCCACATAAGTAGGCATTTTTTACACAGTGTGGTTTTTGCATGCAGCCGGAAAGAAGTTTGTTCGAATGCCGGCATCCTGAGGTAAGTGAGGTTTTGTAGAATTATGCTACAAGACGATTATTTTCACAACCCTACTTGATTAGTCCTTTCGAAACGAAAACTCATTTCGGGATTTCGGTTAACATTTCATGAGCTAGCCCACCTACTGTACATGCAGTGTACATCGGCCTCATAATAACAGAAATCGCACGCAAGTGTCCCCTACGTCCCCCTCGTGGAGGGACGATGGATCTTGTTTAGGAGGGGGAAATCAAAATTTTACTGCCATATTCCAGCCTTTTGGCTAGTTTTCTGTAGAGTCCACAAAGCGCTGTAAACGAACTACCTCTGTTTTTCACGTCAACTTAAGGAATTCGACCTGCGGATGCAAATAAGCCCTCTCAACCTGCTGTCATCAGATCTTGCGACGTTGACTAACTGCGATGACCCTTTTTCCGAATACGGCATTTCCTTCTTTGCTAGTGACAAGCCCTTCGGCTGAAAAATTCAAGGCATACCCTCACGGGTCTCTCGAGATGTCGACTCGCCAGGTAATCTTGTGGCCAGTAAGTTCTGTAATAACTTGAAGGGAACTATGATTTAGTCTTGAAAAGTGCTGCTGTAAGCAAAATACCTTCGTGAGATAACTTTTGGCTATTTCTACTCATGCGACATCTGATATATAACTGCATAAGTAAGACGACGTTTCTGGTTAAGCAACAGTTCTCATTTCTTACTTAACTGTTCGTCATCAATCGAAATTGTGTCAGCTTTGCTAATCATAAACACACTTGAAATTCGTTTGACCTAGTTGTGAAGAACTCCGTGGCCTCGGTGGAATTCGAACCTACAACAACAAGGACAAGGCTTGGGTTCAGCCAACGTTCCAGCTAACTGAACCACGAAGTCTCACTGAGAGCCGTCAGTTTAATAGTATTTGGGTCAAGCTATCCGCCTAGCCTACTGCAACGTACGGAATCAACCAATTCTGATACAATAGGCAGACTGTCCCAGCAGGACTTCGTGAGCAATCAGTTTAGTATCCGCCAGAAAACTACCAGACTCACCCAAATATTTAACGCTTTGGCTGATATAATAATAATCCATTTGACCCAGTTGCTAATGTACTAAGCCAGTTAAACGAAGAACTGTCTCCCTTCAGATAAAGTTGCTTTTCTCATCTAACCGGCTGGTCTCTCGCTTT